CGACAGTCTGACGAGCCGTGTGATTTTTAGCTTGATTTGATTTCTAGCTAATCTTGCGGTTGATCTGCAGTCAGCTCGGTTCCGCCGTAAAACACCTTGTCACGAGCCTGGAGAAGATACGAGATGAGGAGGCGCCACTATCCGAGGTAACGTACATTTTGCCCCTCCGATCCCTGTCTATCCGTCGGTTCATTTCTCAGAGAGCAATGCAAAAATGCTGAGATTTGCCTCATTGTTTCTGAGCTGTAGGCCTACGATATGCCCAGTGAGTGGATGCAGGTTCTCTTTCATTTGGTCTCTGGGAAAATCAGGCGCGATTTACTTTATTACCGTAGTATTGTCTCTGCAAGGAGCTCCTTCGCTCGTGCGAACAATCACTCGGCAGCTCTATCCTCCTCGCACTACTAAACACACGGTGAAGAAATCTTCCGCGTTCAGTCTGTGCCACTCTGTGGAGTGCCCACTCGTGGGTTCTCCCTGTAGTAATGTGGTAGTGTGCACACTGTGCAGGATGCTGGAGTACATCTACCTTCAGTTATCTCTGTATACCTTAGATTCTGTCGCTTAACATATCTTCCGTGTTGGAGAAAGAAAATATCTTCTTGTTCTTCTATTTATGTATTTCTCCTCAATTTCTGTGAAATATTGCGTTGTACAAACAGACTAATAGAGTGTATTTTCACCAAAAAAAAAGACTAATAGAGTGTAACTGCACAATTATCAAAAAGATTTACAAAAAATAGAGAGAGATACAAGTAAGGAACTGTATCACCTAGAAAGAAAACATCGACACGACAAAAGATTCAGCTTACTACACATATCTTTTTTCTTAACTAGATGATACCCCGCATGTTGTTGCGGAAATATTTTGCAACATATTTCAATGTGATTCATTGTATGAAACATGAATATTTAAAGTAATAATATAAAAAGCTAACACTAAAAATACATATAATTTATTGTGCTTGATTACTGTATAGTTGTAAAATGTTTATTAAATGTATATAGCATAATAAAATGAAAATTCTCATGTATGTTGCATGTTGAGATAGGTCTTTTTTTTTCATGCATGTCATGATGAAGTGGCATGCTTGCATGTTGAGAGACATATGATAGTGGGGGTGGACCTTTTCTCATGCATGTTGTGCGATGATGTGGCATGCTTGCATGTTGAGAAAAATAGTTAATGGAAGCTAGCTATTTAGATATAGAAGATTCGGATCTTAATTAGGACCTAGTTTCATTAAAAAAATAGAAAAGAGATGTCCAGAAAATTTGCGGCAAACCAGATAAAATCGTTACAACACATATGCAAGACGTGCCATCATGGCCAACCTAGCTACCCACAAGCCACAAGACCCACTCATCGCCAAAAAGTGGAATTGGTCCGGATCTTGCTGATCTAGGCGTAGCTAACATGACAAGTTAGACCATATGAAGGGTATGTAATCAATGGTTACATGCTTGCTACGAAAGAGAAGAATGGTAGATCAAAGACTCAGAATTTGCTTGTTACCCTACAAGTTCTGCTAGGAAACAAATAAGGAAAAGAAACATATATACTATGGATACATTAATAAGATATGGGAGCTGGACCATGTGGATTCTAGAATTGCATTGTTCCAATGTCAGTGTGTTAGCAAAAACTGAGTCAATTGTAAAGAAAATGGTCATACTAATGTAAATATCAACAAGTTGCCTACAAAGAATAATCCATTCATATTTGCTCAATTTGTCCATCAAGTCTTCTACATTGACCACACAAGAAATAAAAGCTGACATGTGGCAATGCCCTCAAAAAGGAAAATTCTTGGTGTGGAAGGTATAATCCATAAGGACAATCATAACCGAGTTGACGATATTTTGCCTACCGTGCCTGGATCAACAAAAGAGTGTGCTAAAGTACTTTCGACCGAACCTTATGATCATGATGATGATGTAATTGTCTAATATGCATGTCTTTTGACATTTCCTGATTTTGAGTTGAACTATGTAAGATTATTATTTGCATTGTATGGTTTTGAATTAAAATGTGTTTGAATATTTGTTTGCACTGTATGATTTTGAGTTGAATTGTGTATGATTTTTAGTTGAACTATGTCGGTGAATGATACTGGCAGTAGTTCTCCTGACAGGGTGTTGTGCATAGCAAAAAGTATAGACGGGAAGCCACATAAAGTTTTTACCCAAGTTCGGGCCCTCATGGTGGAGCAAATACCCTAGTCCTACTTGATATTGTTAGTACAAATGCCTCGTTTGAGGAGGTTATAATGGTATATTGTGGGTGTATCCAAACCAAGGATTTTTTTTCTCGATTCCATTTTTTCGGTTGGCACAAAAAAACACCAGTTTCTAGAAAATTACGGATTTTTTGGATTTTTCAAATGAGTTTTGAATTCAATTGTTTTGCTTTCAAATATAAACTATATTAAGCCCGCCTTACATAGTATTGTTCTTGTCCGAGTAGTTAGTGCATCTCTCTGTCATTCGTAAGCTCGTTGGTTTGAACCAACCATCCCTCTCTTTCCAATAATTTTTTTGTACGGCAAAACATTTATTAAAAATAAGTTGGCAAAACTGGGATTCGATCCTGCGACCCCTGAAGCTACAGCAAGCACATTACTACCACACCAAGAGATAACTCTATCTGAATAGCCCTAAAATCCCTATTTGACATAAATTAGATGTTTAAATTTAAATAAATTCAAAATTTTCATTTGGTATTCAATTTTTTGGTGAGCAGCGGAAGCTCCGGTTTTTTTTATCGGTTTTCAAAAATACCGGCCAAGAAAAAAACCTGATCCAAACTACAGATTGGATGCTATGAGCTAGCCTTGGCCTTGCCTTATATAGGGGGCAGGGGACGAGGCCAAGGATTTACGGGAGTCCTATTCAGTTACAATCGACTTGGGAGGGCGCCGTGATCTTGGTCTTGCATACCAAGTTGGTGGAGTCTTCTAGAGGAGGACTATCGGCAGGGTAAGGGAACTAGGCCAAGTTACGGCGTGCTGGGTCTCGATGTGGGTCTGGTTGACTGACTTACCGTCATGTGATATACGCCCGAACCCCGTTAAGTGGTAGCGTCAGTATCCTGAGCTTGTCAAAAGCTCGACAGCGTCCGAATTGAAGTGAAATATTGCACGCCATCTTGGACTGCTTGCTCTTCCGTGAGGCAGGAGAACGATATGCTAAGCGGGGCTTGGAAGCCGTGAGGAGGAAGGTGAAACCTTCTAGGCGAGCGTCTAACCTCCTAATCTTGGTTTGTCGTTGAAGATGCCCACTTCCGGAGAGCTGGTTTCAGTGAAACGGCAAAGCGTTGTGGATCTTTGAGTGATGTCTTCCTGAACGTCAGGCCTAAATGCTCCAGGCCCAGTCTGGCTTTGTCTTTGCATGGAGATCCAATGTACCCACCCGAATCGAGCTTGGAATGGTCAAGCATGCGATGCGAGGCAGCATGGGTCCCAATGAAAGGTCCCGTCCTACTGCCCGTCAAATTTAAACCGCCTCCAATACTCTGGTAGTACTCCCTCCTTTCCGGTGTATAGGGCTTATTTCATTTTTTTCATTTTTCCAATTTAAAGGGCTCATCTCCATCTCATTTGAAGATTCCGAGAAGCATTAAATCTCTGCATGCAAGAATTAAAAAGGAACACACCAATGTATGTAATGTTTCTACTCATCTAGTAGCCAAGCATGCATGTGTTGCAATTAATTCAAATAAATGCATCAGTTTAATTTGAGTAGTTTCGTAAAGTACGAGAAATATTCCTCCACTCATCATATGCTTTGGTTGATGAGATTTCAGATTTAAGCCCTATAAACCGAAAAGAAGGGGGTAGTATATAAGCAATTCCACATAATTGAGTTCGCTGGCAAAGTGTTCATTCACGGGGCACTAATATGAGGGGGAAGTGTTGCATTGGTGACCTTTTTGAGGTGGTGGGTTGTCGTTGGGCACCATTTTAGGGCGAGGGCTGTTTTTACCCTATCTGTGGTGAATGGAAGGTATGTACTACTGTACCTTTGTTTTTATTTTTGCTCCATATTAATTCTTTAGGTCAAGCAATGATGAATTTAATGGTACTGTACTAGTATTGAGGATGTTAATAAATTTTTCTATAAAGTTGGTTGCAGTTTACAAATATTTTCTTATGAAAAAGGTAATATGGAGAGTAAGTAAACGCAGAGGTTATATTGTATTAATTATTTAGCTCTGATGCATGCATAATTTCTTGTAATAGTAGTTTATAAATGTCTGCTTCTGTTCTGTTAAAAAATGGGTCGAGCTTGGATGTACACGTCAAGAACCGTTTGATCGACGCGTACATCGATTGGTTGACAGGAATTTTGAAAACATCCGATCAAGATAGATTGAGAAGGAAAGTGAAATGGATATGTTGCCTACTTTCGTGTTTGAAGCGTGAAAATTTGCGTCTGAATCTCAGTGACTCTGGACAAATATAGAACTTCAAACATCTCACACCTATACTGAAGCATTGTAATTCAAATGATCAAATCTAACATAATTGTGCTGTTATTGTCTTAATTATTTCAGTTATTCTTGCATCAAGATGAGCACACGCACACTCACACCGCCGGTATTTGTTTGACGGTTGAGTGCCGCACAATGCGTGGCTGGCCATACAAAGTCACGCGCAGTGCTCTGCTTTTTTGACCGCAACGTCCCCAAAGCATATGATGTACTGCTGCTGCCCATGCATCTGTAACAGCTGCACGGCGCGCACCGCGTGAGAGTGAGGGGGCATAAAACCGTGATGGGGCTTTTGCACTCATGCCCCTACTTTGAATATGAAGTTCACCAATGGTGATTTAGCCCCTAAAACCATGCTGGCAAGTGGCAACAGCAGCACTCAGCCCTGCTCTTACCTCTCCATATATATCACTGGGTTCTTCTGTGCAAGCTCGCTCACTCCTCAGTCCCTAGCTAGGCTGCCAAATGAGAAGAGGGAAGAAGTCTACCATGGCTCGGCGCTACCACCTGACCCTCCTCTCCGTCTTCTCCTTCCTGCTCCTCACCTGCTTTGTCGCTCCTCATCTGTCCCGAGGGAAGAAAGTCGGGAAGATAGTGACCCTGACCGTCCAGTACCCGGCCGTGGACTCACCGCCGGGCGAGAAGATCAAGATCTCAGCGCACTACGTTGACGAGCACGGGGGCCGCGAGCGCCACTTCAACCTCGACTGCGACGACGACGAGCCGTATGTATCTCTCTCTGTTTCTCTCTCCGTGTGACTTCACTTGGTTTAAAAAAAATTCTAGCTAAGCTTGCGATTGGACTCCAGCCTCGGTTTCGGCATGAAGTACCTTCTCTCGACCCTGGAGGGGATACGAGATGCGCGGGAGTCTCGATCCCAGGTAACTAGAGTAGAGTTTGCTCCACCCTACTGTTCCGAGTTCTTGCTGATTTCAGAACACAATGTGAAGTGCTGACCCTGACCTTTGCCTCGTTGTTTCTCAGCTCTAGTAGCAGGTACCCACTGGAGATTATTGGAGAAGGAGCTACTCTTTTCGTTCCAAGGGAAAATATTTTAGGCGCCTTTTATTTTGTGTCGTAGTATCTGCAGCGATCCGTACTAGTATGGTAGTACTGTGCAGGGTGCTGGAGTACGCCGATCTTCATGTATCTCTATGCGAATATATCGTGGATTGTGTGTGTCACTCAACATAATTAAGAGGCAATTGTGTGAGTCTCTTCCGGGTTCGAGAAACAAAATATATTCGTGTGTCTTCTATTTTATGAATCTTGTAGCCAATATCTGTCAAGTGGAGGAACTTAATTTTGTTTCTGAAAAACATCAACCAAATATAGCATATAACTTCACAGTGTCAAGAAGAACGAAGGATACGAGCGAGAATGTCATCAAGCCAGTATTGAGAGTCGAGGGTGAAATAGAATGACCATTTTTACGGTACCCTATACTGCTAGTGGTGAGGAGAGCGGTATAACAAAAGCCCACGGTTAATTTCCCTGGGTTAGTAAAGGCATTTCCTCTTCATTAAATTAATGTGAAAGGGTTTTAGCTGTAATCCCATCAGGTTGATAGATGATCGCCTCGCCATGCAACTGTGCACATCGTAGGGAGGCCGTTGAGTAGCCCCTCTCCCTACGAGAGAGGAGAGGAGAGTTTTGGCACCCGGAAGCATATGCTTTTGGTTTTTGTAAAGAATTTTATATGTATTTGGGAATGTCACAAAATTCTGACAAAAAGTTTCACGGTACAATTTTCTTTTACACCGCCACAAAAAATGTTGGTTTTCTGTGAATTTCGGCGTGCGCACTTAGAATGTCAAGATGTACGTGGCAATTTTTTTACGGATTTTTGTCATTTTGAAATATTTTTATTGGTGGAAAGACCATATGCGCCCATGTACCAAAGTGAATCTCCACTTTCCCTAGCCCCTCCTTTCCCACTGTTGGTCCCCGGCCAGCAGTGGCCACCAGCCCCCTGACGTGCACCACTCTGGCCGTGTCAGCCACCTACACTCCCTGAGGGTGATTACTCGATCCCTTCAGCCACCAACATGGCGCTCTCGGGTCTTGTTTTCCAACACGGCTTAGATTTTGAAGACAAGATGTGTAGAAGTTTTGGGAGAAATATTTCCCTCCCCCCACCCCCGTGACCATTAGGGAGGTGA